ATGCGTTTTCCAAAAAATAAAATGAAAATAAATAATTAAAAATCAACAAAATCAGTTATAACGTATTTTAAGACTTTTACATGTTTTTTTACTGTATATAGTGTTTTTTTGGGCTATTTATTAAGAAAACAACATTGAAGTTATTATTTTTTAATTTCTTGTAAAATTTCCTTTACTTGAGTTTTACTTTTATTATTCTAAGTTAAGAGAAAAAAAAGTTATGAGACATAGATCAGTTATTTCTATTAAATTTGACTCTTCGACTCAACTTAATAGGCCCGGGGGCACGGGTTAACCTTAACGGATCGGTCCCAAATTTTGCACAGCTCATTTTTTTGACCATTAAAAAAAAATTAAGGGGTAGCGTAAAAAAAAAAAAGACATTCGATTTTTGAGGGCCACCCTAGTGGGTATATAATGTAGGTTTATCAGTCCGTACTAGTATATGTATAGTTTGCTTGCATTCCAATTATTAAGTATGTTCATTTTTAAAAACCAACCTAAAATCAGCATGCCTAGAAATTATAAATAGGGGGATAATATCAAAATATGCTACTCCTATGATCTTTTTTTGAGCTATAAGATTTTTTTAAGTGTAATTACTGGGTAAGTAGTTGGGTTCCTTGTCTTAATAAATACTATCTTAGATTTCATATTTAAGTAAATAAAAAAAATAAATTATTGTATATATTTTTATATATAGATTATGCATATATATAGTATAAAACATGTAAAAATATTAAAAATATGTTATAACTAATTTTCTTTATTTTTACTTATTTATTTTCATTTTATTCTTCTAAAAACGCTTATGTATTAAAAAAAAAAAAACTCTAAAAGTTATATTATTTATGCCAAGTACTATACTTATACTAGATTTATTACATGTTTTATACTATATGTAGTATTTTGTGAGCTATTCATTAAGAAAACAATATTGAAGTTATTATTTTTTAATTTTTTTTAAAATTTCCTTTATGTAGGTTTACTTTTATAATTCTAAGTTATGCAAAGAAAAGGTTTTATTAGCATAAAACACTAAAATTTATACTTAGCAATATAGCCTCCTTGAGCACCCATGCCATTTCGTTCATCCATAACACGTTGAGGTTGATTATTTACTACTTTACCATCATCATTGCCTCGCCACGTTCCTTCATCTTCCTTAAATGAAGCAGACCTAAAAATATAAAAATACATATTATTTTTAACAAATTTTATTTGAGTAAAATAAAAATTAAAACTAAAATTATGACACACTTGTTGCATGGTAATACACATATTCCACAACATTTTTCCATCCCTGTTAAATTCTTTTCCGCTTCTTTCATGTCTGCATTAATTTGATCCATACCTTCTTCAATTCTATCCAATTGTTCTGTATATCAAAGTCAAAAAATTGACAGCAAAAATGTCAAACAAAAAGTTTAAAAAATTAGCTATATAAAACTTTAAATACTAAGGCATGTGTAATGAATTGTTTTTCTATATATGTTTTAACATTTTTTCAAAATAATTAATTTTGATGCTTACGGTGGCAAGTATTAATACGAAAATTTATAATTATTTATTAAATTTTAATTAGAAAATTGAATTTAGTAATTTAATAGTAAACAATTTGTATTTTGAATAATTATTTTTATAAAAAAAAATTTGTTCATGTTATACATTAATAAAATACTAAATACTTTTCTACTACTGAAATAATAAACTATTTATTTTTATTTGCTATTATTAAAATAAATTATAGTATACAGAATGAAGTTTACTTCATTATGTAAATAAATTTATATTTTGAATAGTGTTCTGTATGAAGCGTGAAAATTAATCTTTAAGATGCGACAGTAAAAATAATAAAACAAAATTTATATAACTAATCAATTTTAAAAAAATCAAAGAAATAGAACAGAATTTCAAAAAACAAAAATAAAGTTATGCATGTATATATTTTTTTAAAAAGGTAACTACCACCGCCGCCATTGTAAAAAAATCCTGACTGAATATATTTACAATCAAAATTATGAATCGCATAATATATATTTTGTTTTATGTTTGCTTGTTTTTTTTTTATTTTATTATTTTCATCTTACCCCCTTGTTCATCCAACATCACAAGAGATTTCATTCCAACTTCGTGACTCTATACAAAAAAATTTTAAATAACAACAGCGGTTAATTCATCATCTTGGCTCTGCTTTCCATAAGTTAATAAAATAAAAAGCTTTATTTGCTCTTTTTTTCTTAATCAATTTTAAGCTATTAATTTACAAGTTACTAATAAATATTTACTTATCTATCACTATTTAAAAATACATTAATAAAATATATGTGCATAATGGTTTAAATTTGACTGTTCATAAAATAAGATTGTGTTGAACAAACAGAATATAGGGTTAAGTCTTTCTTTCATTGTTTCTTTGTACTTCCATACACCCATATCATTTTATAATAATAATAATAGTTTATAGATTAGTCTAAGAGTCTGTTTATGTTCAATGATTATTTACGGACTGAAATAACATGTGTGTAGTTCCAAAAGAGTAACTTTAATAAATATCTCTACCTAATTATTAATCAATGAGAAAAAAAAACTTTTGCTAATTCAGCATAATAAAATTTAAGATGAACCTCAGGATTTTCACCACCCTAAATTCAGCTTGTTTAAAGTCTTTACTTTTTCAACTGTAAGTCTTCCAACTTACTAGAAACTCTTACAGTAATTGCAAAATATTTTTTATAAATTAGAAATAAAAAAAAGGTAATTATTTTATTAATCTGGAAATTATTCGAATTATTCATTAAAAGAAATTTTTTTAAAAAAGGTACTTAATAAAAATATTGCAAATAGAAAATAGAATAATAGGACTTGTGTATTCAAACAAATAAATTCATAGAATTTTATAATTTATTGTTTATATAGAACCCTAATAGAAATAAATTCTTTTAAGCCTACTCACATAAGAATTCTTAAGAAAATTAAATAAAAAGCTTTACAAATATTTTAAAAACTATTAATGGATAGTATTAAAAGAGATAAATATATTTTACAGTAACACACACATTTATTATCACTACTATTGTTAAAAATTACTTGCTAATAAAATAATTTTTAATCAAAACAATTTTTTACATTGAGGATTTAATATACAATTGAATGAAAATTTACAAACAACTATTCATGTGTTATACTTACTAAGTTAATTTAGTATGTATTAATTATAAAAAAAAAGCACCCTTTAATATACTAATTATTAATAGTATTACAAACACGCGTGATATCATTCCAAAATTGCAAGTTAAACATTTTAATAATATCAATACTTAACCAAATACATAGGCGAATCCAACCTAATGAATTTTAAGTAATACTAAAAATTAACCTATTCTTTTCGAAATTGGTGAAACAATAGCATAAAAAATGAATATTTTAGTCATAGAAATTATAAATTATTATAATACAGTTGCAAAAAAAAAAGTTGCATAAATAAAATATCTAATGAAAATTTATGACAAATTATTAAATATAGATAAAATATTTAGGTTTATAATTCATGAATTTCGTCAATTTACATTATTATTCTAATGATAAATATTTATTAACTCTTTTTTTTATTGTATATTTCTTTACAACACTAAGAATATATTTAATTATCATACTTGTCAATAGAAGTAAAAATATATTTTCTTATTTATATGATTAGTATAAACACTCAATAGTTAAAAAATCTAAATCTGTATATAGTGAAATAGCATGGGAATTTTTTAATTTTTATGAACATTAATAAAACATTACTATGGCTAAATTTGTTTTTTAACATATTTAAAAAATTTAAATCCACCCCATTGAGTTAAGACCTTCTACTTAAAAAAAGATCAACACAAACTTCATATAATTATAAAAGTTGAAAGGATTCGCCTATAAGACAATAATAAGAACAATTAAATATTGATCACATTATTGTTTCAAAACATAGCATAAATACAGGCGGCGGCAGGAACAGAGAAGTTTCAATATGTTTCTTTAATATGGTTGCTTATTAATTTTTTGTTTAAGATTTTTTATAATTTAAATCTTACCGCCTTGATAGTGCAAATTTTCTATAGTTTTTGTGCCAGCATCTATACTCTACAAATAAAATAAAAATCATGAAAAAAAAAAAAATAAATAAGACATAACAAAAAAAAAAAAATCAAATAAATAAAAATATAATAAAACATAAAATAAATTTTACTGTAATATAACAAAAGAAAAAAATATAAAAATTAATTACTTGATGGATAATAATTTAAATTTATAACACCAACTTTATATAAAAATACAAATATTTCTCTTTTTTGTAATTAAAAATCTCGGATTAATAACATCATCTGAATATATTAAACCTTTATTATTTCACCAGGTATATATACATGGTAGTATACTAATAGTAATGCTACTAAATCATAGGCCAAACTAAAATAAAACTTTTGAACTTAATTTAATAATTTCATCCCACATTAAATTTTTTTTTATATAAAAGGGGTTTTGGCCCCGATCCCTTTAACACTTATAATTATACAATAAATAATGAATTTTAAATGTTTATAAAAAGATTAACATGTTATAATTTCAGTCTATAATAATTGTTAATTTTTTTAAGAGATAAACACTAATTTTATATAATTATTTTTTTTATATAACAACATTTAAAAAACATTGTTTTCAAATGATTATTTTTTGAAATGTATATATTAGCATCTACAAATTTATGTAACGTAATGTTAGTGTTAGTTTTTATTAATACCAGCTAGAAATAATTTAATATAAAATTCTGCCACCACCCGATTTTAGGTGAAAAAAATAGATTAATGAAATAAGCATGCAACATTCATTAAATGCAACTTTTCTTTACGAGTGTTTCACATTTGCAACAAATTTGTTTTTTTATATATATATATACTTTTATGTGATTTACATTATAGATGAGTAATTTTGTTTGGAAATTTATAATGAAAAATTATCATTTTATTTTGTAATAACTACTATAGTATAATATAAACAAAATATTGATATTTCATTGTGAATTTTGTATGGTAATTAGAAAAAAATGTGTTTATGTAGATTAAAGTTGTCGATGTATTTAATACACAAAATTAACCACTACCGCTAATGTGTCTTCTTTTTTAATAAAAATTAAACTTTTCTTTTTTCTAACTATAACAGCTCAAACTATTAATTAAATTAGTAATAAAGTATTAAATAGCTACTGATTAAATGTATTTTTTTTTCATTCTAAGAAATTTATTTTACTTTTTTAAACTGTTAATTAAATAAATATGCATACATAAAAAGTTTAATTATTAAAAATTAAATAAATTCTGTAATGATTTTTTAAATTATAAGTAACAAAATAATAATTGTTACATCAGCAATGTGGTTTAACTTTGTGGTGTTGAAGCGGCAGTGGTTTCAATAACTCATCAACAACAACTCACCTCCCTGGTCGTCAAGCGCAACTAATGTTCTGATTCCAGCTTCCTTGCTCTAATTTTGTCAATATTCAATAGTAGAAGAGTGGTGTCAGTAGAAGAGTGGTGATGGTTGTGGTGGTGGTGGTGATGGTGTGGTGTGCGTGTGACAAAAAAAAAACCAATAATAACAACAACATTATCTTTACACAATGATAAAATGTAATAGCAGTTGTGTAAAAATTTTCTCAATTCTTTTATTATTGTAGTAAGACGTGTCATAATTATTGCCATAATGCTTAATAGCATTTCAACGTGTGTAAATATAACATTTAAAAAATACAAGTATATATTTTTTTTTGCTTTGTAGTATAAAAGGTAGAAAATTTCAAAATTATCTGCTGTTATCTTTATTTTGTTTTATTACATGTCTTAAACAATTATACACCACTAAGTAAGATTGTTCATATAACTGAACAAAAAATGTGACTTTTTAATTAAGAAAAATGACAAATCATTCAAATCATAATTTTAATTGGGATGTCTTAATTATTTTATTTTAAAAATATATAAAGTAAAGATAATTAGTACTGTCACATAAACACATATATATTGAACGATAATATTTTTCTATAACTCAATAAAATATATGTATCTTAGAGTTAATTATTGAAACTTTATGCAAATTATTAGTCACCTAATTGACCTAAAATTTATTTATAATTTTATTTTATGCTTTTAAGATTTCAGGTAAAGCAAGTAATTATAACGCAAAAAACAAACACATTGACATGCAACAGTAATAGCAACATTAACATTAGTACCATAGCTTTATTATTTTACAAAAATGTTATGTTATATTGACACACACATACACAGACAGTTGAATTGTTGACATATACAATGTAAAGTGTGCCACTGAATATTAATATCTCCAAATAATAATATTAGATTATTATTTTTTTTCGTGCACACTTTTCTCATTATTATTATTATGTACAAAGATAAAAAAAATTATTATACACCTATATTTATAATAATTAATTAGGGGCTTTTTAAAGAAATTATACACCACCATATTTTTAATAATAAATTATAGTAAAATCATGCTGCTAGTTATAAAAACATTATGAAATAATTTGGTTAGTCATTAAATAGGGCAAAATTATTTTAAAAGTTATAAGTTTAGTAAATTGAAGACAAAATTTTGATTATGTAATAAATATCTTACCTCTTCACAGAGAGCCAACATACGCCTGGTACTTTCAAGTGACTACACAGCATCAAGGTAAACAATTTTGAAATATAAACAAAAAATACATTAGAAGTAATTAAACATATATTTTATACTTCATAATAAATTAAATATTATTTTAACTTCCTATACAAAATATTCAATAAGTAAAAGAAAAAGGTTTCCATTAAGCGTAATAAGGGTACCCAAGATATTTCAAATAATCTTTTTATCTAAATTTATTAATAGGGACATCCAATGATTGAAACATGCTATAGGATTTTTAGTGACTAACCTATTAAAATTATTAAGTATAATCAACTGTAAAGAACAAATTGATTTAATTACCGAGGTCACAGAAAGTATGGTGTAGAAGTGAAATTTTTATAAAAATTAAGTTAGGTTATATTAAAAATTATTAGTCTTTTTTAAATAAAATATTACAGAATAGGTGGAAAAAAATTGAAAAATATATTTTTTAATTAATTAAAAATCTAAAAAAGCAATATGCTAATTTTAACAACATTTTAAATATTTTACTTATACCCTTATAATTCTATACATATTATACATAAATAATACAGTTCTTATAATGTAAAATTATTTAATTAAATAGAAAAATGTGAAAAAAGAGAAGAAACATTTTTCTTATTTAAAATTTTTTATGAAACACTAGATATCAAGCTTATAATAAAAAAATACGTTAAAATTTGACGAATTAAAACAGTTAAATAAGTTTTAAATTTATAATTAATACTTAAACTCACATCATCAGTCACTTGACCAGCTTTCAGTTGTAAATCTTGAAGCTCAGTTCTAGGAACAGATGGTTTTGAACCATCACCATCGGGGGACATTGCTGCATTTGATTTATTTGGTGCTGGCATTATGGACAAGTTAAATTAAGGTTCACTTGAATATTTCACAAAATATAATCCTAAAATGATAAGTGTAAAAATATAACTAATATCACGATGTGTATCTTTAATTAAAATAATCACTTAGACAAAAAAAAAAAATTATAAATGGTCAAGATTTTTTTATTACAATTCGATTTTCTACAGCTGTATTAATACAAGCAAAACACGTGCACAAGTGTCAATAATTAGACCATTATACCTTCTAAAGTTACAACTAAAATTTCACTGGTAAATATTTACTTTCACGGGAATGTCATCAGAGAACCGACTGGATTCCCCACCATATCGCGGGTAATTAACAATACTGATAAAAGAATACTTGTCTAATGATTGAAGATAACAGAAATCGCTTACAAAATATATGATTGAAGACAGTTGATTGCTATGACACTCTTTCGATCATGTATTAATCCTGATATACTGTCTCAATAAAACAAAATCGTGTAATTTTTTTTTAATTAAAAATACATTTTTGAAGAAAACAAGTTGTTTAAATTTTTTGAATGAAATTCAAATAGTAACACTTTAAACTTAGAGTAATGTGGAGGTCAACCACATCCACCACTAGAAAATCAGTTTTAGCAGACGATCAATTAATATTTAAATAAATACATTAATAATGTGTAAGCATTCCTTGTTCATTTATTTTGTATTTTTCTCTATGCTCGCTTATATAAAATCGCTTTACGTAAATTCCCCACTAATTCAAAAACATAATTTCTGATCACCCTGCATATACATTTTATACATAGTGTAAAGAACATCTTTAAATCATGATTTGATGGTGGGTGCAAGGTCAAACCACTATACAAGGCTGCAGGACCGGTTGGGTTTAGTTTGGATTCTTGGAATCAAAAACAAGTCCGTAATACGAATCTATATGTTTACATTTAATGTAAATGGCTAACTTCAAAAATTATTATCTATCTCAGCCAACAAATGGAAGATATTTTCAAAAATTAAATCTGAATTCTCCAGTCTAAACAAAAAATTTTCTTTGCGAATTTAACTAAAGTATAATTTAGTGAAAACTAAGCGTTAATTATTAGTAGAGATTAGTTAACTGGTATATTATCAAAATAACTAACCAAGTATTTTTTTGGTTATATATTGAACAAATATTTGAACTGTTGAAAAATAAATAAAAAGCTTAATTTAGTATACTAAGGTTTGACTTAATCTTAAACGTGTAAAAATCACTATAAAGGGTTTCGAAAAGTTTCTATAACCAAGGTATCAACATGTAAAATGAGATAACCAACACCAAAAATAATATTATAAAAGAATGGATTAATAAATAGAATAATTTAGACAAGATTTAAGTATAATTTGTCTATAAATATGAAAAATGCAAGGCAACATTCACAGCAGTAATAAATTGTTGTATTTTATTGTTCAGTATATTAGATGCGGTGGTACATAAGGGAGGCTCACTTCCGTACCATAATTTAATAATATGTTGCTATTATGATATATCTCAATGAATTTTAAACGAACACAATGTAGATTCTATTCGGTTCTTTATTTTCTATGTCAGAACCGGTTCTGCAACATGTTACAACCCCTTTTCGCTTAAATACATAATTAATATGAAATAATAATTAATCCTTCTAAATTTAGAAGATTAAATTTTAAACTTTGGTTATTATTTATACGTAGGTAAAATCAATGAAGTACTATTCTAAAATATATTAAATATTTAAAATAGCCTGGATAAAAAGAAATACATTTGTGCATATCTAATAGTTTTTAATAAGATATCGATATAGTAATACAAAAGGCTTGGGGACACAACTCCCACCATGTTGATACTAATCATAAATACTTTTCATCTTCTCCCATGGCAAATCATTTGACTGTCACTGCTAATATGTATAAAAGACACAAGGACGGATGTATTCAAACAATATGTATTTAAATGGGGATATGAATCTTAAATAATAATAAAGAGTAATTATAATTTTTTAAATTTTACATAAAGTTTTTTCATAACAATTTAATACATAATTTTAATAACATAAATATTATTGTTAGACAAGATGAAAGCTAAAGTATCTTTTTATGTGAAAAAAAATCCAGTACAGTCGGGGCAGAACATAGTGAACAAAAGTATAGTATTGATTAAAATCAATATCATAAGAAACGCATCGATGCAAACCTGTAGATTTTACTATATTTTTAATAGGGATTTTTGAATTATGCCAAATACAACATGAACTTACATTTTAAAAATATTTAAAATAAGTTCTCTAATGTATAAATAAATTACTTAAAAAATTAATTTTACCAAATTTGAAATTGATAATTAATAACTTAGTATAATAATTAAAACAATCATATTATAAAAAAATTAAATAAAGTTCGACTGTTCTAACCTTTGTTAGTTAGTTATAATTTCAGTAATAAAATTAAAACTATAATGTATCATATATGCCTGTACTTTAAACCATTAGTAGCTAGAACACTTTTTTTAGGAAGGGTAATAATCATAATTTGATATTCTTATTTAATTAGACATTAAAAATTGCAAAAATCTTTTCTGAAAATATTTATAATTAACATTTATATCATATTAAATTTTTTTTTTTTTGTAAAAATGTGAGTTAAATGAGGTTCTTAACTCCCATTTCCTGTAATATGTAACATAAACTTTAATTTAATATAAGTTTAAAAAACCCAATATTTCCAGAACATTTGCCAAGTTGCTATTTTAAATTTCTCTCTATGTGGAAGTAAAGAAATACATTTTCAATAAATATATACCAAAAGACAGAGAAATGCCTAAAGATATTTATAAAAATAAATTGTTTTCATTCATCAATTTTTCTAAACGTTTTAAGTAAAAAAATGTTTAAAATACAAAAATTTTAATTTTTGGGGTGATTCTTACCATTTACGGATATTTGTTCAAAACTTAAGAGTAGATTACTAGATATATTTGTATCTAAGTAAAATCGATCTAGTAAAATCTGAAAAAATAGCGATAATCTAACACAAAAAATAAACTAATAAATGCATTATAGTAAAATTAATACTTTCTGAGCTTCGCATCAAAGCTAAAAAATACTATAAAAAGAAAATTATAAATTATCTTTAAGCTAGATCCTTTCGCATCAAAAAATCAAAATTTTTCTCTGCATATCAAAAATTTGAATTTTTTTCCAGTATAACTTTGAACTCTAATTTGGACTAAATTAAGTATAGATGAAAATCTGTCAATATTTTATGATGCTAAATAGCTCGCCAAAAAACTCGCCTCGCTCACGGTTACTTTTCGCATTAATACCTATCAATTACAATAATCGAGAATCAACATTGCTTTATTCTCTTAAATTAATCAAATAGTTCTTTAAAAAGACAGTTACAAGTCTCCTTTTTTTTTTTTTGAGGGGAGAGGTAAAAGCAACGTGGGTGGAGCCCACGTAAAAATACGACAACTATGATTTTTAACTTCATCTTTGGAGTCTAATCCATCGGAAAACCCGGTAAAAGTGAAGTCATTTTTTTATAGAATGATAAGTCAAGCAGACAAAGAGATCAATTATTGTTTTTCCTCCATACGTTAAAGATCTACCCTAATGTACTATACGATGACCTTGACCTATTTTTTAACGGCGGGAAGCCTCACCCGCGCATTTTTTACTTTAACACTGACATTACTATTTTTAAACGACCATTATTAGTTTAATTCAAAATCCGAAATATTTAACCAGTTACAGTTCAATACCATTATTTTTTTCAAAGTAAGAAACGATATAACTTACAAGGACAATTTACAGCTTTCCAAATAAAAAATATACAAATAAGTTACAAGATAGTAAGGTACTAGTATTTTCAAATTATACTGTAAAACTATACTATACTGTATTTTCTTAACGTACTTAATCTCACTCATTCTCCACCATTTCAACTAAAGTTTAAAAATATTACAGACCGCAAATTCATAGAATATGAAAACTATTACATTTCTTACCTGATAAATGTTTCACTTGCGTACTTCGGCAGTCGACGGGATCGCACTATTATTAACTGCACGAACACGCCCGCAAATCACTAAATCAACATGAAATTTCAATAACAAATGGATTTCATCAGTAACAATATTTTTTTGGGCAAACAAGTTAGCCCAGCGAAAACACCTGTTAATAAAGTAATTAAAAGAGTTACTATGAATTTTTGATGCGTAGTAATCTAAGCTTAAAATGTTTTTAATTTTATGAAAATATGAATTGAAAGAGAACAATTTTATACACGAATGTAAGAAAGTAATTATCTCAAATGTCTGTCGTACCTCTCGTCAATTGTCCGAGGACTACTAGTGTGCTCTTAGTACTGAAAATTAGCTCTTATGTCATTAAGTACAGTAGCGTTATGAACGGGTATAAACGAGGTGGTACCGTCAGCGCTTGCGCTGGAACGTGTGCCCGTATAACATCAATATCATTAACATAGGATGACGCGCCGCCGCGTTCGATCGTCACAGTTGGGGGGTAGTAGAGATATTAAGATAGGGAACAAATAGTTCAATCGAACTAATTTGAACTATTCTGAACTGTTTCAGTACCTATAACCTAATCAGTTCAGAATTTAAACAAAAATTACATTAGTTTAGACACGACTAAGAACTTAGATAATATTATTGTCTAACGGGCGTTTTGAAAAATCAAATACTACTACAAATGATAATGCACGTTATTATAATGAATTTTTAGTAGAAGAGTTAAAGATAAAACATTTATTTTGTTGGTTATCGTTTAATCATATACATCTAATACTGATTTACACACAGTAATATCAGAACGTAACTTATGGGTGTATCTTGTCTCCTTAATGTTACTCATTCGACCAAAAACTTTATGCTATCATTGGCCTGACCAATGGGTAGGCAAGACAAACCTTCTAAACAGGGTTTACACCCTGTTTTCAGAGCCAGCTTTAGGCACGTGGAACCCATAAAATGTTTCATTTTAAATGACGATAAAAAAAAAACGCCACAAAGGAGGCTGAGATATAGATCCAAATTATAATAACTGGTCCTGTAGTAAAGTTTAATTCTGTGCACGCCCCTTTTTATTATAATATAAAAAAAAGTCTATAATTATAATATTATTATGATCGGGCAAATCTAATGTTAAAAAGACAATCAGAAGTTTAATATTTTTTATTTTAAATAAAAAATCAAACATTTTACTGGGCCTAACTTAGTAACAATTGTATGGAGGCTCAGGATTATCTACATAATAAATGTTTATAAATAAAATTAGAATGTTATTTAAAATTTAGAATTTGAAAGTAATTTAAAAATATGCATAAATCTTTAATTAGGCTTTAGCGTTATATTTATACCTTAGCCAGCGTGTTATATAGTTTTTAAAAAACTAAACCATAATATTTAAATAAGTGGGCATTAGATTAAAAATTTGAATTGCCGTAAACTCATAGCATTACGACAATCCGTTTTATTGGGATAATTTAAGGTGAAACAATTTTTTGCATATCTGGTATTAATTACATAACTTAGGAATGATAATAGTTTATGTTTTTTACATTCAACACTTAATGTGTTTAATAATTTTTTAGTCGGATAACTTGCATCTTTTTTAAAGGGATCTTGATAATTATGTTTTAACAAATTTGTAGTCAAAAGTTAAATGGTTTTCACCCCATAACTTACTAAAAGTAATTATAGGTTTATTAAAATATAGAGTCCTCATATCATTCATAGATAGTACTTCTTATAATTATTTCATAACATAGATCTTTTTATTCAACTTTTATTAAGAAAGATACAAATTGAACCTTCAATTTAAAATTATAACATATTTCGATCCTAATATATTTAAAATATTTACACATTTATATTGTCTTAATATATTACATTTATTATTATGTATTTTTATATTCTATATAGCGGTATATGTTCTGTTTGAAAGTGAGTGAAGTATAATGGATAAGTTTAAAAATAGGATATTGGAGTTTAATCATCTATCTATAAACTTCAGATCATTTTCAATGTATTTAAATACTACGCCCCTTGTATTACTATTGCAAATTATAATTGTGTCATTTGCATAAAAATATTATGTGACTCTTTAGTTTTAATGATTTTAAATTATTTAACTGTCTGTGAATACATAATAAAATAGGTGATAAAGATATATACTGCTTACATTGTTCCATTAAGAATATATTATGGAACACCTCATGTTATAATAAGTTCATTACTAACGAATCCTTGATTTTCACCATTTGTTTTTTGCCATTGAGATAGGACTTTAAGAGAAATAATGTAAAACTAGTAATTCCCAAACATTCATTTTATTCAAAAGTATTTGAATATTTACTAAATTAAATAGAATTTAAATAAATTAAATTTTTTTTTTTGTCTGTTACCACTTTTTCTCAGCTCTCACCGAACGGATTTCTTTCAACGATACGTCAAAAGATCACAAATCGTATCTAGTCGAAGACATTACCCTTCAAAATTGAAAAAATTTCCCTCGTTCCCCGTAAATGGGGGAAACCTCCAAAAAAATTACAAATTTAAAAATCACTAATTTTCGAAATTTTTTCAATTTTTTTTACTAAAAA